CCGATAACAACGAACGAGCAAAAGTCGGTGTTGAGGGGGAGTGTTAAAATATCAACACCTCCTTTTGGGAAGGACCCGGAAGCATCTAGAACAATCCGAAAAAATGTGGAAGGTTCTGGAATTTTGTAGAAGGATTGAGAAGCTTGTGGAAGCTAGCGAAAGGACGTAGAAAATTCTAGAAGGTAATAGAGACTACAAGAAGGTTGTGGATATTGTAGGAACTAGACTTATGTGGATGAGTCTAGAACATTATACATAATATTAGTAAGTTTTAGAATAGTCTAGAAATGGCAAGAGTGTTAGGGAAGCCCCTTGAATGTGAGTAGTTCTAGATAGTTCTTTAGAGGAAGGGGTGACTATAAATAGGAAAAACCACCTCATTTGCAATGTATCCCCAATAATCCCCAATCATCCAAGCATCCAAGAGTCTAAGTAAAAGAGTGAGTGAGTGTCATAGATAGGGTGCTTTGGTCTTGATAAGTGAAGTATTGTAGCCTGGTCCATATTGTGTTTTGTAATTAATTTGTTAATCTAATAAAGTAATTACATTAGTGTCCACGTGTTGCGAGTGTACCCAACCCAACAAGTGGTATCAGAGCCAGGCGAGCGGAGTCTGACGTTGGTTGAGGTACGAGTTGTTGTGTCGAGCTTCTTGATCGTAGTAAGTAGATTATGTTTTGAAATTCATGAGACTTATTCGAATATAGCCTATAGTTAGAGCCTAGATAAGGTCGTCAGGTCGGTTACCATTAATTGCTCGTAATATAATTCCCCAAAGAAACTCTTATATTAAGTAAAAATAATCAAAGCTTTATGAAAAGAATATTCGCGTGCACGTTGATAAACATCTAACTGTACACGTGGGGAGTGGGGATGACCAACCCTTAGATCCACATGCAATCGTTTGACTTTATATATCAAACGAATTTTTCTCTGTTTTTTCCCATGTTTTAGAATCGGTAAAGAGAGACATTTTTACCCAATTGCATAAATTTTTGTATACATGTTTTTGGATTTGATCAAGCGTAATTTATATTTTCCAACTGTGCTATACATGTTTTTAGATTTTGAAACATACAATTTTTTTGTGGTAAAATGAAACTTGAACTTAATGAATATTTATAATTTGCATACTCGCTTATACATTGTCCATTTGCAGAAATAGTAAGAAAGTAAGCAGAGTTGCAAATTATGAATATTTATATAACTCAAATTGCATTTTACAACGAAAAATACTGTAGGTTGCGAATTCAAAAAATACTACGACAGTACATGTTGGAACCAAGTTTTTACTCTTTGATCAATGTACAACTCTACAAAGCATTATCCTTTGAAAATCACTCTCAAGATCCACGTTTAGAGACGTGCATGATTCCCAATATCTTCTATGTAAATTTGGGAGAATTAGTAATTACTAACAACAAGTTTTTTTTTTTTTTTTTTNGTTTTTTTTTTTTTTTTTTACTATTGAATGATTAATTAGTGTATATTCCCATATATGTTAATCTAACGGTTAAAACACCGATATGAAAGGTATGATCGAACTTTTCTCCTAAAACTAACTACTCGTTTTTTTATTTTTCCTCGAAAATGAACCATATTCTGTGCCCTGACACAAAGAAACAAATCTCCATTAATATACACTTTCCATGTTCCCCCTTCCTTCAATGCATCCTTCGTTAAATTATAAACTTAAATCTCTATGTTCACAAACTTTTCCCTTAATTTATAGCTCTCATTTATTTCCCCAAATATAAAACTCACTCTTTTTCAGCTTTCATTGTATTAGGCTTTAGCCACTCTCTCTTCCCAATCTCCTAAAATCTTTCTTCAACCCTAGCTAGATAATCTAGCCTTTTTAACTTTCAAAACCCATTCTCTCTCTCTCTCAATGATTAATATAGGCTTCAGACAGCATGCAAATCATAAGGTACTCATGAAATAATCAAAATCCACACACCACACTCCTCCACTTTCCAAACCTCTCTCTAATTCAATTTCAATACACATCCAAATCTCATTTTCTTGCCAAAAATAACCGCAATGTATTTCATCAGCCCGAGCCCGACGATCAGGCCCGACACGGACCTCTCTCTACAAATCAGCCCGCCCTCACAGCCCAAATACCCACTCAAAGAAAACACCCGGCCCGACTCAAGCTCCAGCAGCAGCAGCTCAAGCCACGATAACGGGCTCCCAATCGCCAGCCAACGGGCCGGGCCCAGTTTTGCACCGGCCCAAATGCGGAGCAACCACTACCAACCCCAAATATCCGGCCACGTGGGCAAGAGGTGTTCTAGAATGTCGATTGGGGTTAGAAGAAGCGCTCGTGCGCCGAGGATGAGGTGGACTTCGACTCTTCACGCACATTTCGTGCACGCGGTTCAGCTGCTCGGTGGCCACGAACGTATGTTATGATTTTCTTGCATTTTGAAATAAAAGTTAAAAGCACTAAAAAAGTGCCATGAAAAATAATAAATAAAGATTCAAAATAGAAAAAAAAATAAGTCAATGTGTACAGTAAAACTTGGTTTCGCACCTATCATTACAATTTAATATGGAAAACATGTTTTCATTGCAAAAATCAAGTTTTGAAATAGAATTTTAAGCATTAAAAAAATTCATGAAAAACAGTAGAGCCACGTACGAAAGAATATTCGAATTGCGCATTTTGATTATATTAATCGTCATTTTTTAATATTGAAAAAAAAAATGGCTGATAAAAATGGTGCAGGGGCAACTCCAAAGTCTGTGCTTGAGCTGATGAATGTGAAGGATCTAACTCTAGCTCATGTCAAGAGTCACTTACAGGTGGATGTTAATTAATTTTTATGATTAGATTTAAATTTGATCACATTTTTTAATTAATTGCCCGTTTTTTTTTTTTAAAAAAAAAAAATTGATTCATATTTGATGTTTATTATCTCCTATTTCACACTTCTTGTTGTGTCTGATGATGCTTTACATGGTTGTACATTTGGAATCTTGGGGTTGTTGGACATTTAGGTAGGATTGTGTTTTGACATATCACATATGCTTACTTTGTTGTGGGATTAATTCATGCAGATGTATAGAACAGTGAAGAGCACAGACAATGGAATAATAACAGGTAACAATTTGATATCCGATTGTCGAATCTTTTCAAACTCTATATTAATACTACAAAAATTATTTAATATATTTCCAAAAATTATTTCATAAAATCTTTTCAAACTCTTTCATTTCGTATGATGGTTTTGAGGAAACCAAACCATATTTCCCATCATTTTCAGCATATTATTATTCCACTGAACATCTTGGACTGACTTGTAATTTATATTAATATAGCCCCAGATGGAATTATTTACATCTTGAACTGACTTGTAATTTATATTAACATAGCCCAAATGGAATTCTTTCTGATATATCAGTGTCTGACAAAACTCTTTATATATGCTCCATTGACTCTATATACATTTTTATTTGCAGCTCAAGTGAGGACAAATTTTAATAATGAAGATGAAAATGAGTGTACTGAATTTAGTCCTTCTTTAGCATCTGGTCCACCATCTTTATCGTTATTACATACAGCCACCTCAAGTACTCATTCATTACAACCTGCTCAAAGGTTAGTGCAATTATCGTAGAATATATTTCAGTTTTTTTAATTTATTATTTTTTTTTTTTAAGATTTTTTGTCGAGTTTTAATGTGGTCCAATGCATTATTAATTTCTTTCCATCATTTTCTAGAAGAATATCTAAATATTAGTATTAGGTACTTTGCCTTGGTCCATTGCGATATTTAATGCAATAAATCCTTGTGTTTGAACGATTTTGATATAAAAATGGCACCTAACTCAATAAATTGGAAAAGCTAATAAATCGCCTTTGGATTTCACTTGACAAATCATATTTGGGCCTTAATTATTGTTACAAATCTCTGAAATCTCAAGCTGACCCTAGAAAAAGTCAAAGAGAAGACTGATTCTCAGTAACTTTGTAATGGAACAAGCTTTTAAGGGTGACATTTATAATTTCCAACCAAGCAATTTAATACTTATTTCATATTGCAAATTTGATCTGTGAGTATTTTTTTTTATTTTTTTTTAAATCTATGAGGTTATTAACTTCTATTTCCTCCTGATCTAATTAACCTCCCACAAGCAGGGGTTCATTGGCATCATCACTAGACAACTTTATTCCAATCAGGCTATCAAGTGATCAGCAAAATTCTTCATTTAATTTTCAGGTAATAACAACAAATTTTCTCCCACATTGAAAAACGAGTCAAATTGTACACATAATTATTAGTATTGTTTTAGCCTTTAGGACAACCTAACGGTTGGACTGATTGATTAATCTTACTTCTTACTTTTTCAATAAATGCATAGAATGGTTAACTCTGTCAGACAACAATCTCATTGAATGTTAGAAAGCATGAAATGCAACGGCTTTCCTAACGTGGCCCGTTAGCCCAATGAGCTGAGCCCACTTTTATCCTACAAACCCATATATAGTATGGGCTTGGCAATAGTCAGAAATTTTAGCTGGCCCAATCTACTCATTTTCGCAGCTCTTAAAGATATTTAATGGTAACATACTAACATACATAAAAACACTTTTCTTCAATATATATTTTGCTGTAGGGAGGATTTGATGAGGCAGCCGACAAAATGTCAGGAGAAATGGAAGAATTTGATAGGTTTAGTAATAGTAGCAGCAGCTTGCTTTCTCCAGAAGTGCTCAATCTAGAATTTACCTTAGGAAGACCAAGCTGCCAGCTGGAAACCTCTAGAACTTACCTTCTTCCATGTTAAAAAGCATACTTGTTTTTAATGCTACTATGTATGCTTCCTGTTAGAAAATACGTATTGTTTTCTGAGGCATGGATTTAGTTTTTAGATTATATGATCAGCAACCCCTTTTTGCTTCTCTTTTAATTAATTTACTATTATTATTAGCCAGTTCCTCTGTTTTCCAGAATTAAGCACATTGCAAAAGTTATTGTGTAGACNGTCTGGCCATAGTCATATAATTCCCAAAATGATATTAACTGTAAATCAACTGAAAAATCCATGCATAACATAACATAACATTCCCACTACTATCCAACCTTAAAAAAAAGGTCCATTTTATTCAAACTAGAACTCCAATCACAAACACTGGTCCATAACAAAAACTTGCTGAACCAGAAAAAGCATGCAACTTCTAATATATAGATATATAATAATAATAATATATGGACTTAGGCAAAACTGACATCATACTTAGGCTGCCCATCCGGATAAAACACCCCGAAATGCTTCTCGTGCTCGGGGCTCTTCTCGTTCTCGTCAAAAAAATCGAAAATGTACGTCTCGACCTCCTTCCCGGGCCTCTTGGGTGTCCCGTCCCCCACGTGCCGCGCCAAGTTGGCGTTGTAAGTGCTGGCGTAGTCCATCGAGGCCGCGTCCCCACCGTCCGACGGCCACCCGCTCTCCGACACCACCACCTCCAACGACGAGCCGCCTTTGACCTTCTCGAGCGCCGCGTAAACCGAGTCCACCATCGCGGAGAAGAGGTTCGGGTAGTGGACCCCGCCTGCATCGACCCCGACAGTTGACTTGAAGAGCGCGTAGTCCAAGTCGACCTGCGATTTGCTGGAGATGTAGTTGTAGTATGGGTAGATGTTGACGAGGAGCGGGGCCCGGTTATCGGCGAGGTGTTGGATGATGGGCTCGACGTACGAGGTGACTTCGGGCCGGAAAGTCGCGTCGGCCGGCGGGTACGTCGTGCTCAGGAGGGTCATCTCGACCGCGGTCGAGACCAGGACCTGGCCTCCGAGCCCGGCCGAGTTGATCGCGGTCTGGATGTTTTGGAGGGCCGGGAGGACGTAGGATACGTATTGGGCCGAGCCATCGACCACGGGGCTAACCTCGTTCCCGACCGCAATGTACCTGGAGGGGCAAAACGGTAATTCTTCTGTTAGGCTGGAAAATGTTCGATCACTTTAAAAAACGATATACATAAACAGAAATATGACATTTTTGATATAGTGTAAGTGTGTATTTCTGTTTCAGATGAATATGATGAGTCGATCTGTCTAACGGTTAGGCTGCGTTATAGAAATTTTTTCTGCCTAGACAAATGTCGATCTGTACCTGAATTTAACATTGGGGTAGCTCTTAACGTTGGTCTGGACCCACTTGTCGGCGTTGGCCTGGCTGGCGGCCACGGATTGGAGGTCGGTATTAGGGACGCCGAGAATTAGCTCAATGCCGGACCCACTGAGGGCTTGTTGGGTGGGGCCGTGGGGGTTGTACATTCTCACGGTTTGGATGTTGTGTTGCTTCAATAGAGCCACCACTGTCGATGGGTCGGGCAGGTCGCTTCCGAGCATTCCGTAGCAGATGCCTACACTGGCAGCTGCGCAGTGCAGTATATACGTAAAGTTTTTAGTCGAATTTTGAGGATCGATATCGAAATCTAACGATTAAATTCCTAACGTTTTAGTTTTTTGCTTCAGTCGTCAACTGAAGCAACGATGAAAATTAATGGACTAAAAATGTGTATTTGTTTCTTTTTATCTATATTTTAAATAAAACAAACCTGTGAAATCCAGGGTGAGCATGATTAGTAGGGCCCAAAGAAGCATGGCAGGGATGAACTGACTTTTGGAGTTAGCCATGTTGCTAATAGAAGTGACTATTGATTATAAGCTAGAAACTTGTTGTTATGCCTATGAAGCACTTGTCTAATCTCCCAATTCATATCATTTTTATAGTAGATATGTGGGTAGTTATTTCTTTTTCCCATCAATCAATGCCTAACGATTGATACCTTTAGGCCGTCATTTTCTCGCATAAAAATGCACATTTTACTTTGAAATGCCATGACATTTGGATATCATGTTTTTCAGCAGCTCTTGTCGGTAGGTCTGCACGTATTTTCAAAGGGAATGCATATTTTTCAAAATTTAATCCGAAATGTATGCATGATTCTCTTATGTGATTATGTATATTTTATTATTATAACAAAAATATGTTATATATGTATGAAGTTTACAATTAGATTAATTAATTAGGGAATCAATATTTCTTCAATAGATATACATTATTTTAAACTTAAATATCGTGCTATGAGAAACAACATATTTAAAGTATAACATTCTATACCATAAATATATATATTTTAATTATGAAAATTTATATGACATGTCTAAATTGTCTCAACAAGACTTGTGAAAATGTATTGATAATTGTGTCAATATTAACATGTGGTAATACCAAAATATAGTCTTTCATTTTGTAAAAGATGATGAAATACAATCAATTTCACAAGGCAAACTATTTATTATTCATATTTTTACAAAAGTTTGTTATATTTAGTTGTTGAATTTGCAATTTGACTACTATAAAACCTAGCTAAGTTATTATGAATTCATCCCGCGGTCAATTTTAACTGTAGCGATTGCTCACAGTTTTCGTATGATTTCAACTTGATGAGTGGAATATGAATGATGAATCAAATAATTTTTCTATATGTTCACACTGATCACTTGGAAGTTCAAATTTTAATGAATGGAATGTCAATAAACTAATTATTCGCCGAACTTTAGACCATCAATTTAATGTCATAAGATTCGTTGTGAGTTTTCAATCCTAGCTTCTTATGACTATATTCTGTTGCATGTTCGTTGAGTTTTCAATCCTAGCTTATCACTATTCTATTGCATATTAACTATAAAACCGACTTATAACTGTACAAAATATTCAGAAGTGAACAAAGATACTTATGAAATTTACCGTAATATTCTAATGCACACACTTGATGTACGAATTTACTGTAATGGTCAGACTTCATTGTTTTTTCGTTTGTTTTTACAATATTTTTATGTCTAGCCACATTTATTGGTACCCCGATTTAAAATTTTGCATAAATTTAAGACATTGGAAAAAAAAAAAATTATTCGGTTCAAAAAAGAAAATAAAAGAAAAAAATTGAACATGTGCAGGCGCAAACATGCTTGAGATTCGTGTATATATTTTTGGTTTGAATTCACCTTTTGGAAATGTGACAATTCAACCTTTGGTTTCACTATAGGGTTTTCACGTTTGCACTTTCCACTATAAAGCGTTTTTCTCCTACACTTTTGAGAAGGAACTTTTAACTATGAATTAAACTTGAGAAATTTACTCCTGTCACGAGATAAGATCATTAATATTGCATGATTACGACTCAGTTAATTTATTTAGCACATTTAACAAAATCTTACCTTTTATTTGTTGTAATACGAGAAACACATAATTATAGAAATAAAAAGATCTAGTGCGATTATTTTTATTGAATCTGCAGACCTTATCCCACCAAAATGGTATCGTTCTCTGCAGCCACTCAATCCTCCGGCCACCGACTTCCGTCGCCGCAAAAACCCCAATCTCCGGCGACGTTAGCCTGTGTGCTGCCTACCTTATCCTGCGCACCCGTACGCCATTCATCACGGCGGGAACCCTTTCACGACCTCCGAGAGCGGTCTCACCTCAGACCTACATCTATCCTGACCCCATCTCTGAATTTGCAGATGCCGTCAATAGTTCTTTCTACCTCAAGTTTCCATTTTGCAAATGATTATTTCAATTTTGACGAATTTATGTTATTTTTTTTTTGGAAAAATAGAAAATAAATTAAGAGACTCTGAAGTTCAGGGATGAATTGCTGTAGAGGCTTTCGAGGGACAAAGATACATTTCGGGACGACCTTCAAACGATTGTCAATACCTGCGCAGAGATAAAAACTCTTTAAACTTTAAAGAGTTTTCGTTGACAATAATTGGAAAATTACATTTTTGCTTCATTTTCACCGTTGGAAGTTCATGCCCTGGTGGCCCAAGCCCAATACTCATCATATGATATCTATTCCTTTGAAACGTGTCCTACTTATATGGGGTCTTTCTAATGACTCAATTTTTTAAGCCCAAACTTTTGTGGGTTCACACGTATATTAATCATCTGTCTATATTTAATTGTTAGAGAAAATTGCACCATATACAAGACATATCATTTTTAATCACATAAATGAAACCTCATTGCAAATATTAGCAAATATACAATATCTCACCTTTATAATTACAAAATTACCAGATATATAAAAACTGATTAATTTAAAGGAGCAATATTAAGTCAGCGTAATTAAAGATGACTTATCACCTTCCAAAATAACATTCTCGAGGAACTTGGTAAGAAAAATCTCTCCTTCATCTCACATCTGTAATCGCCAACCCACGTCCAAACACTCAAGATACTTTTGCCACTACTCTCTCCCACAACCCACCAACTGCAAACCCTAATCTCATATACAGAAAATTAGAACATGACAAGAACAAAGTTTGGAAAAAGTCCTACAACCGGCGACAAGACATCTCCTCATCGCCGATCCAGCTCTCGTCTACAAAATTTACAAATCAAGAAGCATCCTACACTGGTTCAAAAAAAGTTGTACTTCGATAGAAAAATGAAATCGAAGGACATCCGGATATCACCCAGAAAAAAACGACATGAAAAGGCTGATTCCACATCTGATTCGGGCCATTTTCAATCGGACCTCGGCGACAACAATAAAAAAATTTCATGTCGACAGCACCTTAAAAATATGTTCTGCACAGAATACATGTTCTTTTCATGTTCTGTACATATTTTGTATATGATCTTTGAGTGGAGCAACTGTATCAGTTCTATATATATTTTGTATGTCTTCAATATATGTAACAACTGTATCAGTTCAGTATGTGTTTTGTATATGTTCTTGACTATAATAGTCTTTTATGTTTTGTACATATTCTGTATGTTCTATATATGTTCTGCAATAAAACTCGATCGACGAAGAGGAGATGTATATGTTCTTCGATGAAGAATCCCAAGATTTCGACCCCGACGCGGGTGATTTCTACGATGGTCCGCCGATCTTTGATGAAGAGCCTCCAGTGACAGATAAACATCTTTGCAAGGACATGGACATGAAGATACCTTTCGTTCTCAGTATTGGAGCATTGGACGTGGTAAACTTTGGACCAGAAGATACCATCCTCTTGCAATTTCAAGATGGGAAGTTTTTTGAACACACTAACCAGATGGGTGTCTCTGGATTGGATTCCCCAGGCAAGGCCTTCTATGACCCTGCTGCTACCGGAGCTCTTGTAGTGGACTTGCAGAGGCTAATTGAATTATATGAGTATAGAGAGGTCAAAGTTTTCCCAGAACACGTTAATGTCATGCAGTTTGATGGTGCGCTAGTTGTTTCATTTTAGGCGGGTAATTGTTCGGCAGTTTTGGATGGGAGTGTTGAACTGGTTGGACGGTATTCAACTTTCGTGCACGATAGTGGAATGGCGATTCCTACCTTGGGTACTACTCTGGTGTCAGCACGTTTGGAACCATATTTGGGCGAGAAAGCAGATGGAGACGAGATCCATTCGGATTCGAAGGCGAATCATCCTCAACCCGGGGAGGATGATGGAGACGAGATCGCCTTGGCATTCTTGGAGAAATACGAGCGACGTCGACGTCACACATGAGTTTTTCATGGATTGTGTGCATGACTCTTATTATTATCATTATTATTATTATTATTATTATTATTATTATTATTATTACTTTTGACTAAGTGTGGAATCCTAAATATAAGTTAGGAAATCAAAGAGTCACTAGTTTTTGTCCCGTGCATTTGCACGGAAAACTATATGATACATGAAAAAATAATAAAAATTATAAACAATAGTAAAAATCATAACAAATTCATTGAAAAAAATTAAGAAAAAAATATAAATATTCTTAAACACTTCTTTATAAAACAACGTCGTGGTTTTTCTATCGTCAAAATCTCCCTCAGCTCAAATCAAAATCTTCAAACCCCACTGACTCGTAACTCTAAAAAGCGCCACGTATAATTGCTCATGACTAAATGCAGAGCTCTTCAGTAGTAAGCCGACGTGCGACAGAGACTGCCTTCGACTCTTATTGATCATGTCATAGCATAGGAAACACTTCTTTATATTGTTTGTCCTTGACTCTTATTGATTGATAGAGATTGTCCTTGCTTCTTAATAAAAAAAATACCATCTAAATATAAATGAGTAAATATAATATTAATGTTTAATATAAACAAAAAATTTAAAGTAACTGATAATGAGTATAGAATTACCCTTGCGGATTCAAGTTATTTCAACGATGTTCTTTTTATATATCTAAGATTTAATTTTTTTTTTTCTGATTTATATGAATTGACTAATTTTTATAAAATTTATTGAAAAAAGTTATTATTTTTTTTGAAAAACTGATAAGTTATTAAGATAATATTGTACTTAACATAAATGTGGGATTAATTAAAATAAATCTTTTTAATTTAGTCATTAACTAATTAAATTTAACTATAAAAAACCTTCTTAAATGTAAGATTAATGAGTAATTAATTAAAAAAAATGTAACTCCTTTTGGAGGGAAAGTGAAAATATTTTTATTAAATGTTTTATTAAATAAGATTAGCTAGCAATTATATATATATAGATTCAAAACAAAGACTGGTATTGCATGTCAGAGTGAGATTTATAAATTCATTACATACGAATCAGAAAATTATTATAATATATGACTGAAAAATTGTACAAATGAATAATATCATTTTAAATATAAATAAGAATATAATTTTTGAAAAATATTTTAAATTCAAATAAAAAAACTTATAGCTTACATTTATTTTAAGAATTTCATTATAAATTTTTTAATTAGTGCAACGCGTAATAACTAGTTTTTTTTTATATTAAATGTTCACCTGAATTAGTAATATCCCGTGATTGACCTATTGAAATGAAGAAATCCACCGTGTTACCCCTAATTGAAATATTCAAAACCACACCATCTAAATTTCCAGTCATTGCCAGTTAATTATCATTATTATTATTCCTCTCCTTTTTAAAGTTGAAAAGGCCTCCCCAAAAATGATTGAATAACACCATAATTGCCCCACATCACTTTGAAGTTTGAAGTTTGAACACACCACAAACAATTAAAACTGTAGACCCGTTATTTTATTTTTACTTTTTTTTTTCTCAATATCCAATCTTCCTTTTTTCGTTTGTTTAATTTCCCCTTTGCAAAAATTGCAATAAATGCCTAATTTTGCACTTAATTCATCCATTTTCCCAAAATGAAATTCAATTTCCTCCATAATTACAGTCTTTTTTCGGTCGCAATAATAATAATCATCGTCCCTTTCCCCGCCGCCTCCGCCGGCGCCCGGTGCAACCACACGTGCGCCGGCCGCACCGTCCCCTTCCCCTTCGGCTTCTCCGCCGCCTGCCCGATCCGCCTCGACTGCGCCCCCGGCGGCGCCGTCCTCGCCGCCGGCCTCCCCGTCCAGTCCATCGACGGCGACACCCTCTCGCTCGGCCTCCGGGCGGCCTGCCGCCGCCCCGTCGAGGCGCTCCGCCGCCTCTTCACCGAAAATTTCGCCCCGACGGCGACAAACGCGATGCTCCTCCGCGAATGCCGGAACCGGACCACCGGCGCCGATTGCTTCATGCCGCGGACGGCGGTGCAGACGCACTTCGAGCTGGCGGACTGCGACGGTCCCGCCGTCGCCTGCTACGCGGAGGCGCCGAACCGGACGGCGTTCATGGACTACCGGAGGATGACCAGGAGCGGGTGCCGGTGGCTCTTCTCGGCGATCTCGATGAATGCGCTGGCGAACGACTCGTCGGTGTCGCTGGACGTGGAGGTGGTGAGGGTCGGGTGGTGGTTGCGCGGCGGCTGCCGGTGCTCGGAACACGGGAGGTGCGTCCACGTGTCGCCGCCGGAGGAGGGGAATGGGGCGGCGTACAGGTGCGAGTGTTTGGAAGGGTTCACCGGCGATGGGTTCCGCGACGGCTTGGGCTGCCGGCAAGGTAAAGCTTAGCTTCTCATGGAATTTCCTATTATTTTATTTTTTTGTTCTTTTATGGCAATTTTCTATTTTGTTTGAATAACATGATTTTTTTAATAAAATTGAATGTCATTAAATGTCATACCATTTTTGTAGAAATAATAATAATGACAACCATTTAATTTACTACTATTAAAATTAGTCCATGCTGATTTTTATATAACTAGTAATTAACATGTGCATTTGCACATAAAAGAATACTTTAAAAAGATAACAATATAAAAAAAATCATAATTTAATTTATGAAAAAAAATATGAATTAAGAAAATAATTCTCAAAATTGATTTTGATAAAATAATTGATATGAAAGAGCCGTTACAACCATTTTCTTTATGCTAATACATTCGACCATTTTCATGAGTGGGTGTGACTTAAAATTTGAGTACAGTTTTGTAACTCCCATGATTGATTTATGCTCATAATTTATATAGCACTCAAGCAAGTTATTTTGTAATTAAAAAATGAAATTGAATGCTGAAAATTTTGGAGGGAGAATAAAATTTAATCTATGAGAATTAAATTTAACGCATGATAATATAATTTAATGCATTGTTGATCCTCTTTATATATATATATATATATACATTTTCTGTTTTATAGAAAAATGATACATAGCCAGCCTAGTGTACAAATAGGTTGACAACACAAGTGGAAACATTCACTTGTGTATTTTTTTATTTTTATTTTTGTGGATGTTTTTTACTTGTGTTGTCAACCTTGTTATATACTAAGTTGGCAATGTGGCATTTCTCTTTTTTATAGCTCCTTTCGGCTCCAGCAAAGTTTAAGCTTGCTTATCAACTCATTTTGTTAGTAAGTTGAGCTCAATTCGATTTGATATAGACTTGTGCTCGAGCTCGACTCACACACCTGTAAATACAAGTTTGTGAACAAAGCTAGTTATTTCAGTAAGAATCGTGTTAGACATACTTATCGATTGAACAATCACATATTTTTAGCAAATATGTACAAATTTAAACTAAATTGTCGAACTCTAAGATGCAGTATAACAAAAGTATAGTATTTCATAACATCTATATGTATTTTTATTATAAAAATATGATGGACCGACATGTCTAATAGCAAGGCAGACTCAAGAATTTGTTTAGTTATTTTGATCCCTATTGAAAATTACTCTTAGAAATTTTATAAATAGTCCCTAAAGTTACGGAATTTAAGCAGCAATCAAGATTAGAGCATCTCCAATGCAACTTTTGACATTATAAAAAGTCATCCATATCACCAACTTTTAAAAGTGTGTCTATTTTTTTCTCCAATGCATCTTGTCATGAACTCTTTCATGATGAGGTGGATGTCATTTAATGTTGACAATGTTGAGCATACTTTCTAATATCTAACACCATGTTAAACATGATGACTCATCAATTTACTTTATATTTATTTTTATTTTTTATTTTTTTTATCAATGAATTATTTAATTGGTCTACCTATACAAATAACTTCTTATCAAATTGATGCATTGGAGATACTAGTTCCATTGAAATTTCTAGTCTTTTAACATTATTCCAATGTAGATTAACATTACAATTACTAATTGACATGTGTTAAAAATAATGGTCTTTCACACTTATAGCATTGGAGATGCTCTTAGACATTTGATGAGAAAGATGGTCAAAAGGTTAGAAAATCTGATGAGAAAAGATGGGTCAATTTTCTGTTGTGTTTCAGTTGTAAAGATTGTCCAAATAATTTTGGGTATATGCCTGAAGAAACGGTCGAATGTCTTGATAAGAAAAAGACGTGCAAGCAATAGCGAATATTGTAAGTTTGAATTTCTTTTTGAACTAGAAAACCGTGTATTACAATATGCATACATTAACTCTATATATAATTTCAGAATGCGTTGAGTTCATATTTCGGAATCTTATTTGACAAAAAATCATGTTTTTAAATTAGGATTGGATATAAATTAATATTTGTATTAATTGTATTTTAATATCATTTCCTATTATAACCATTGAATTGCAAATATATTTTAAAAGTTGATAACTTTTATATTTCTTATCGGTTTTACGTATATAATATATCAAATTAATTATCTTTTAATGAGCTTCGATTTGACATCCATATTGTATATATAAAATAAATAAATTATATTTATTTTTATAATAATAATAAACTTAAAATTAATTAGAAAATAAAATTATTTATTAATTAATATATTTATGTTTAATGTAGTTTTATGTTATAAGGTAGAAAATTAATTCTAATATAACACATATAAGTCGCACAAGTAACATGTATCATACTAAAATATATAATAATATATATTCACTCCTATTTTTATTATTTGTCACTCTGCTTAATTGATCATTGATAAAATAAATGTCGTTTTAGATATTTTGTTCATATTTTTTCATTTTTAACTCTCCATCTAATACACAATGTCTCTTCATATCACATCTCCATCCTTTCCCATAACATCCATTAAATAGGGTTACTATTGTCAAGAAAAAAAATCTTAATTAGTGTGTTGCATTTGAATTGATATTATGAAATGCGTTTGTATTTACTATTTATATATATATAAAATACAAAACAGTAATATATATCCTTATAAATAAAATTTAAATTTATTTATCAAACTAAATTAAATTATATCAAATAAAACTATAAATTATATTATAAAGTAATAGAAATTGGTATGTATTCTTTTAAAAATGATATTTATTTCAAATCTAATTGGTATGTTGTCAATGTAATAAAAATAAATAATTATTATATAAATTCTAAAATTATATATAAAGTTAAAAAATTGTGAAGCACGATTGATACGACACTTGATGTATTAGGCATCTAATTAAGTAAAAAAATTAATCTATTTGGCTTAATATTAAATAAATATATTCTACACTTATGCATATACATATCACCATATTATTTCTATTTATTTAAAATATATATTTTTGTACTTATGTAATAGTAAATAATATCGATATTTTTATATGATATAAGTAAAAAAATTCAACACGGGTTGATATTTTCATTTAATGTACGAGTGTTTAATTATTATGATTAAAAAAATATAATTTGACAATTTAATTAAAATCGAAATTAATGTTTTATATAAAATTAAATTATTTTAATTTTTAAAAAAATAAAACATTTAATATTTTTTGCAAAAGCTTTCTAATTCAACACCCGTGTAATACACGGGTATTGTATTAGTATTATTTATTTAAAAAAACTGTATGTATAATAAAATAATACTATAAAATGTCACTATTATGAAATATAATGAATCTTTAATTGTTGAAGAACATGATTTGAAAAGTAACATTGTTCTTTTTGATACCTCATCTATCTACCTCTTATCAGTTGAGAACTTGAGATACCTTCTCATTTTGGACATACTTTTTATGTAAATGTTTATTTTTTTTTTTTTCAGTCTAAAACAGTTTTAATTTATTATTCTACTTTCTTATTTTTCATATAAAAATGGGAAAGTAAAACAATCTATACGCCTTTTTTATTAACCAAAAAAAACAAAAGTAGAGTGGAATATTTAGGCATGAACTTAATGAACTAAAGATTAGGTACCTAGGGCTAGAGTTATAAACTAGACGAGCTCGAGTTTCGGATACTTAAGGTCGAGATCGAGCCGTAAGCACCTAAACGAGCTGATAAATGAACCCGATCTCAATTCGTTTATCAATATTAAGGAGTCAAAATTAAATCTTAAGAGTTGAGGTAAGCTAAAATTTTTTTTTTTTTTTTAATAAACATCAGTAATATCGAGTCAAAACAAATCGAACTTGATTTAGTCCATACATAATTGGTCCAGTTATTGTGACACAGCTCACATATAATTCCCGAGCTTATTTTGTGCCTTAATTTGTGGACTATTATTATAGGTGCTGGATTAATATATACAACTGTGTGCTTATAATAATCAAACACAAAGTAATTAAAATTAAAATGTCCAGGTCAACTACAAGACAACGTGGGGCTACTATTATCGCGTTTTTGAGGTCAAAATGTCTAAATACAATACTTTTCCAATTAATTACTACCATATCCTGCCCAATCACGATCTGTCTAGCAAACATATGATAAAGAACTTGCAGTATAGTTTATTTCATGTGACCTGTGGGCCTAAAGCAGGACAACACTGGGCTCCACTTTCAACTCTGATAACGTTTTTTTCTTGGCTCTGATATTATGTCAATCTCAACTTTTCCTATATTCATCGTCATCATCATTTGGTAAATGATTCCAAAAGGAAAAGACAAATAGATGCTAAGTCCATTCAATTACAATAGGAAAAAGTTCATCCTACTCTATGGCTTTTAGCCACACATTTTGTACACACGTATGTTGTAGATTTCACTTAACAATGCAAGTCTAGCTCTAGCCTGCTCTTTTGGAATACTTGTTCAAATAGCAGGTAGATTAGAAAAGGCATTATGTTGATCTTGTGTAACTCTTGACTAAATTGTAAATTCCCCTGTTTGAAATCACTGGCATTACCTCAAATCTGAAAAGTTTGTTTTGTCATATGTTGTACGAACAGCATCGCTAGCATGCGACCCGCCTAAGTACTTATCGGGCCAATGCGGAGGAACAAAACGAGTCGGCATTTTGATCGGAGGTACGTACACAACAATATCGACCCATCGACTTATTTTTAATATACCCATAACACAAAATATCATATATTTTTTTATTTAAACAAATTAATCCACAGCTGCAGCCGTTGGCGCCTTCTTCATGGTGATGCTCGGCCTAATCGTCTGCCTCGTCCGAAACAAATCCAAGCTGACGGCGACCCGAAGCAGAAGAGTCCCCCGCCGCCGGGACCCGCACGAGACCTCCGGTATCACAATCCCGATCTACCCCTACACGGAGATCGAGAAAGCCACCGACTTCTTCTCCGAGAAAAGGAGGCTCGGGTGCGGGGCCTACGGCACCGTCTACTCGGGAAGAATCAACGACGAGTGGGTCGCGGTCAAACGGATCCAGCGCAGGTACCCGTCGTGCACCGAGCAGGTCCTGAACGAGATCCGTCTGATCTCGTCCGTGAGCCACCCGAACCTCGTCCGCCTCCTCGGGTGCTCCCTCGACCGCGACGACGAGCACGCCCTCGTCTACGAGTTCATGCCCAACGGGACCCTCGCCGAGCACCTCCTGGCCAGGCTGGGCCGGGCCCCGCTTCCGTGGCCCGTCCGCCTCACCATCGCAGCCGAGACGGCCTCCGCCGTGGCCCACCTCCATGGCGCGGGCCCGAGGCCCATCTACCACCGGGACATCAAGTCGAGCAACATACTCCTCGACGCGCGGTTCGGGTCCAAGGTGGCCGACTTCGGGCTCTCGAGGCCCGGGCCAGGCGGCGAGCTGTCGTCGGCGACGTCCCACGTGTCGACCGCGCCGCAGGGGACGCCGGGCTACGTGGACCCGCAGTACCACACGAGCTTCCGGATGTCGGACAGGAGCGACGTGTACAGCTTCGGGGTGGTCCTCGCGGAGATTATCACGGGGATGCAGGCGGTGGATCTCGAGCGCCCGATGGAGGAGGCGAACCTGGCGACGCTGGCGGCCGACAGGATCGGGAAGGGTCGGTTGGACGAGATATTGGACCCGGCTCTCAAGGAAGAGATGGCGACTGCGGAGGCGGACAGTGTCGCGTGGACCCGGGAGTCGGTGGGCCGGGTGGCGGAGCTCGCGTTTCGGTGCCTGGCGTGGAACGGGGAAGCGAGGCCGCCGATGGGTGAGGTGGCGAAGGAGCTCGAGGGGATTAGGGTAAGTAGATGGATAGCTTCACATGTGGGCCCCACCACGACGATGGCGGCCCGTCTCTCGTTGTCGTCGGATACGAGCGAGAGACCGTTGAACTCGACGGCGGGAGATGAGGATGGGGGCGGGGGTGCGTTTTTCGGGAGCGAGAATTCAGGGGACGACACGTGGCGGAGCGAGGGGAGCTCGTCGAGTAGTTTGTTGAATCGGCAGGCCGTCGAGAAAATTAATGATAGGTCAATCTAGCGCACCGACTTCACATAGTATGGCCATTGCCAAAGAACGTTTTGTGATGTTTTTTTTCCAAACATGTACATACTTACATAGCAATTTTGTTTGATGTTGTGATTTTTTGGTTTGAGTATTAAAGTTTTAAATGTTTGTGATGGAAGTTTTATACAATTATAAAAAAACTCAAATAATATTATTGAAATTATATGATATCAACTATTTATTGAAACCATATGACTTAAATATCACAAAATTCGTCTCAAGTTACAAATTTAANAAAAAAAAAAAAAAAAAAGGTGAAGGATCATTTTTGCAACATTTGTCACCAAATTTGCAATAAGGTCAATCATGTATGACTAAATTTGTAATTTCGTCATTTTTCAAACTAACGGCCGGGGCACGCGACAACACGATTGGAATAAATTTTGCAACAAAAAATTAGTAAAAAAACCAATTTTGCACAACCAACATTACTGTTGTAATATGGTAAGTGTGGTGGTTACACCACCACCTACCATAATATATTTTATTATTAAATAATGTATATGAATGATTATTTTGTCCCTGATGTAATTGTATTATTACGATTGTGCAATCAGAAGCTTTCTTATAAATAGGAGTTTCAGTTATAATAAAAATACAACCAAGAGAAAGCACTCTCTATATTCTCTTTTTCTCTAGTTTTATAATACGTTATCAGCACGAGCGCTCTATCCGGTCATAAAGGTAAGATCATATTATTAAATTTAGTTATGAATTACTACCTATTAAGATATATAATATTATTAATTGTAATTAACATCCACAGAAGGTTTACCTAGTAGTGTGGAGTGAAATTTATAACTATTTATTATTGTATCCACCGAAAGAATTATCGAGTAAGTGGAGTAAAATTTACAACTACTTATTTTTGTACCCACCGAAAGAATTATCGAGTAGTGTAGAGTGATATTTTTATTTATTTTGTTAATGGGCTGCTGCAAATGGCACTACACACCTTATTCATTTTTCTCGTTTATCATGCTCGTATCACCAATCTTCACAATCTACTCGCATCATAATAATCTGCAAATAACTTCAGCATTTATATCAATTTCTCACTAGAAAAGTTCAAATTATTTCTTTACGGGCATATGATCCTCCAATTTCTCCATTTTCTCCAATAAGTCCAAATCTGTGATTATGAAAAGTTTTGGATGCCAAGCCCAATGATTCACTAATGTAAGACCAAAGAAAAAAAAAACAATAAAATAAAAAAATAAGTGAAGAGAATTACTTGGAAGAAGATGGTTCCTACCGATATTTCGCAACTAGTTGAAAAAAAAAAATGAAAGGATATGCTTCAATGAAGTCGGAGGCAGATGTTGGGAAGATAAAATCTTACCATGGCGGCATTGAGGTAAGTATCTCACTTATATGTCATAAAATTATTATATGGTCATATGCATACATTAATATATGTCTATATATAATAATCAACTAACTACACTAGACAATAATTGTCGGTTAATACCACTCAATTGAAATGAATGGCATTAAATGTTAATGTGTAGTAGTTAGAAATTTAGATAAATAATATGAGGAGTGTTTCGTGGCGTCTGAAATCTAAGACAATATCAATAACTTAAAGGGATTTGAAAATGATGAATAGATGAACTCAACTAATGAAAAAATGATTAGTCAACATGCCACCAATTCTTCTACTATGCTTTTATTATTATTCGTTAGGAAACAATTAATAGTTGTCCATGCTATGTACCAACTCCCACACACACGGCACAATCAAATAAATTAGTGGTTGAACAAAAACAAGACATATAGTTATACTATTATTACTCCATTTTTATATCCGTAAATATGAGAAACAAACATGGTTAAAATTCATTATTCTATGTTAACAAGTTAAATAAGAGTTTCATTTTAAGACCAATATTTATATGTTTTATATATATTGTCATTATGAAATACTTGAATTTTTCTTGTTGAGGAAATTATTTGATATATGGCATGTACATATTTATGGATTGACTATCGTAATATATGATACATAAACATGCAAATATTTATAGATTGACTCATGTGATATGAAATATGTAGTGCCAGAAGCACATGTACAAAATTATAATTTATCACATGAGATATATGATAGAAAATTATTTTTTTATATAATACTATATATTTACTTGATTTAATTGTCCTTATTTATGGGCATATTTTGTTTGATATGTATCTTATTATTCTTCACATTAATTATTAAGATTTGAAAGTGGTAACATGTATGATATGTCCAGTAGACATTATCCTCTATATAAGGATTATTTTCGATGTTGGAGGAAAAATATTTTATAAATTATGAAATCTCTCTTTACTTCAACTGTTATACTTCTGAAGAGTTATAAAATAAAATTATAACATATATTATTAGTATATCAATGTATTAAATATGGATATTTATTGAGCCTAAATCAATTATAAATATTTTGAAATTTAGTCTAATTAACCAAATTAATGGTATACAACTTTTATAGTTATTTTCAAAACTTGTCATCAATTGCAGAGAAAATATCCTGTTAAATTTTATATCTATAGATTTGAGTTTCCCTGAAGGATTAAATAATTAAAAGTACCACTAGTAAATTTGAATACAAACCTAGATTTGGTTATCTCTGAAGGATTGGTCTAGTAAATAATCTTGTTGAATTTTAGATCTTTTGATCTTGGATCAGCTCTGTATATTCAGTATACTCTTAATGAAAGCATGTAACCAGAATGTTACAAAGATTGAATCAATGTACAAGTTTTCTCAAATTATTTATATTTGCTTGTATAAGATGCATACATTGAATATATTGTCTATAGCTACAATAATAAATTTATACGTAGTGCCTGAAGCACATAATATTGTTGATAGCTACAATAAAAGGCTCACAACTAACGTTCGATTATAGTGCCTGAAGCATATGGTGTTCACTTAGAAAAAAATTATTATAATTCGATGCCCAACTTATATATTTGATAATTAGCATTAGCATTGGATCATATTGGCAATTATTTTTCCCCAAATGATGCGTGGAAAATAGAACATTTTCCATCTGCGATTTATTATTATTATGCACAATCTTATATCACCACTAATTCGTACCTTTATGTTATAAACTAGATATGATATAATGTACTCCGTCGAATTTTTTTAATATATAGAGGCCATCATAGGGGATCAATTTATTATTTGGTACGTGTTTTGCATAATATATATATGAAGATGATTTCACGGCATTAGGTGGAGATATGAGCATACGTTTATTAATGCCGTGAAATATGTGAAATATTAATGTTTTCATTATTTTGAACCACGCAATAAAAATTGAACTTCAAGTTCATATTATATATCTGCCAAACGAAATTTATAGTAATAATAGAGTGAACAATTTGTATATATATAAATGTACCACAAAGTAAGCAAATTCTCTAGAGAATGATGGACTCATTAATGGTAGAAACATAAAGTGATATAATTAATATATGATGTATGAAAGTCCGTGGAAAATATATAACACTCCTTTATAAAGAAACTCCTGAAGACTTGATCCAGTACATATTGCACGTGCATCAAACCATTAAAGTACTGGAAATGCGGAATAGTCAAAATTAAATGTTACGGGAAATGATTATAAATATGACTAGTAAATATGAAGTTGCACATATGGTTGAGAGAACATAAATTGAATATCATAGTTGTCGACAACATAATTGCGTATGTAATTTCTTTACTATCGCAAATAATGATCCGGATCAAAATAATGAAAGTGATAGAAGCGCTTAGGTTGATTGAGATAGAAATGAAAATAAAGGCAAAAAAGAGTTCGCTCGCTACACGATATATCCCAGAAGGATAATGAATACTTATATGTGATATGGTGGTATGATGTAAATATAGCGAGATTATGATGGGTTTACTCAGAGACCCAAAATTTTATAAAACTTCTCTCATTATCTATTATTCCGCAAGTTAATATTAATGGCAGCAACATTACTGACCGCGCGTCGCGCGACGCGATAAATTTAAATTTATATATTTTCCTCGACTAACCTCTACTAACTAGTAGTAGCGGCGAGTAAAGGGTCGATCCCATGAGGAGCAGGAATTAAATTGTGATTATTCTCGTATTAATCGAACTAAAACTAAGAAAGCAATAAAGGTGGGGGGATTGGTTTTATAAAAATAAAAATAAAAATAATAAAAACTAAATAAAATGAGAGAAGTCCAGTTTTTCGGTTCAGTTATCACCCAATCTAAATCTACCGTTAATTAATTTCGACGCTTTCTCTAGAATGCTAATGAATTACCAACCCTAGCTAACAAGCTCTGTTAACCGAATTTTCCCTTACCGAATATTTAATCGAAATAAGCTCTTCGACTAAACCTAACTAATGGACAACCTAGAATAAGCTCTCTAGATTTAGTGCACTAGCAGCATTAATGTCTAGGAAAATAGATCAGTCTAAGCAACGGACGCACAAGCTCGGACCATTTAGCTTATGTTCACGCTACCCTAGAGATGCACGACCCCTAGTTTACTACTAACGAAACGAGACAATAACAATTACGGATTAAAGTCCCTAATCTAGCAATTAAACTATGAACATTCAACGTAGCTGGCCAAACTAAATCAAATACTCATAATTCATAAACATTAAACACAGATAGCATGAATCAACTCATCAACAAAATAACGGCGTTTAGATTAATCAACGATAAACAAAGATCATTCGATTCATAAACAAATCAAACTTAGGGTTCAAACATCCCCTAAAACTGGATAAAAATACTAGCCTAACATACTAATAAAAATAAAAGATAGATAAAAGAGAGAATAAAATCTCCCTCGTGTGTAAGTGCGGCTTCCCTCCGCGTGTGTAGCTCTTTCTCTTTCCCGATGCGTGGGTCTCTGTCCGTGCGTCTGCCTGCGGTTTTTCTTCTCTTTTTTCCTTCGGCGTTTTATTTTTCTCTTGTGCGTGGCGTGAATCCCTTGGGAAAATAATTTCCAAGCAAATATAAGTTCCAGCCAATAAAATCTCCAAGACTTCCAAGTCTAGTGGGCCCTCCAAGACTCCAACATTTACAAACCTTTGTGGCTGCGTATTGCATTTCATTTTGTCCTGGATGGACTCGAGTACCCGAGATGAAAGATATATAAAGTTGTTGGTAAGATGTGGTACAGCCAACAATTTTTTTTTCCAGAAGAAGTAACAAATTCAAGTTAGAATCTTGTGTATAATGATAATTTACAAAATGGTCATCTCGGTCAAATAGATTATGTGGCGAACACTGTTAAATAAGTTAGCTCATGCTTATAGACAGAGTTAGAATGAAACTCTTGGTTAAATACCAAAGAGTATTATCTCGACATGTAGATCGAGCATCTCCTAAAAGGAGTATATTTGACCCAACCAATCTCTTTTTAGAGATGTAAAATTATAACACCAATAAGTGTCAAATATATATAATTTGACAAAGATTTATAAAGATCCAAAGAAACTAATAAGGATATTATAGGACCTGAAGTTCCAATGGACTTGAAGTCTACAAACGACCTGAAGTTTATTTACTAAGCGCAATTGTTATAAAATTTTATCTTGCAAACTACATCAGGCCTGATACTACTTTTACGATGAATTTGATAGCAAGATTTATATTTATATTCTTAAAGTGATATCTTGATAAACATTGAAAATATCTATGTTTTCATGTATGGTAAGTTATCTTTGGACTTGATATATTGGTGGATAAGTACATCAACTATATAATTGATCCCCGAAGTATTGGGTCATTGATTGATTATATACCCTGAAGGTATGATACGCATGTGATAGAATTCTGGATTTAAATATTGAATAAAATATTGTGTATCAGAATCTACACTTAAAATACTTTTATTATCGCCGAAAGATGATATGATAAATATATCACAATGAATCATTGTGATGTTTACTTATATCAATGATGATGGTTTGCATCATTAACTTATTCTTTGTGATATGAGATGATTTGTTCTCGATTGGTGAAAATTATTCTAGCTAAATATTTGTGAATCGATTTTTTATGAATCTGAGTATGAAAGGGGTATGATATATATGGGCCCACTATCCCTCCATGTGTGCTAGCTACTAGATATTATGGATCCACTAGATAGCCATATGAATATGTAATTCGTAACCTGAAGTTACGAGATATTTTGATCAATGAATATGCATATAACACGTAACTTGAAGTTACGAGATAATTACGAAATAATGAAAATAAGTGTCATGAAATTGATAAAGCTAGTAATATACTCAACTGATATGATGAATACTTGAAAGAAAAATATGCATATCACAAGGTTTTAACGAGACAACGCACGAATATTCTAATAAAGGTGATATATTTGAGGGGACCAAAGTTGTGTTTTCACAATACTCAGGTTTTGTCCCACCGGGTTTTCCTAAGGGAGCAATATTATGATTCCAAAATGATCGGGTTTTCTCACACTGGGTTTTCCTGACATGCTGAAGCATCGGTATTTCATGGACACAAGATACAATTCAAGATGTTCAGATTGAACTTTGTTCAAATAATGATTAAAATATGTTTATAAAATAGTAATTCAATGGGGAGTGTTACAATATGGTAAGTGTGGTGGGTGTAACCACCACCTACCATAATATATTTTATTATTAAATAATATATGTGAATGATTATTTTGCTCTTGATATAATTGTATTATTACGATTGTGTCATCAGAAGTTTTCCTATAAATAAAAGTTTCAGTTATAATGAAAATAAAATCATGAGAAAGTTTCTCTAATTTTATAACAATTACAACATGTTCAATCGTAAGGACCAATTTTGCAATTTCCTCTCATTATCACACAAGTCCTTCTTATAGTAATATAGATCAATTGTGGGTGAAATTTACAGTGAGCTCAAGAGCCGAAATACATTAGGGTTTAAGGATAATTGAACTGTGCAAAAAAACCTACCCACCAAAATCCCCTGAAAACTGAAAAACCCATCCAAGAACTCAAGGATGAAATTGCAATCTGCCTGCGTTTCCCTTCAAGGTTTTCCTCCGCCCACCCGCTATTCACCTCCTCGGCTTCACACGGTGAGTTCAGATTCTCAGATTCTTTCCTCGTCCTGTTCGACAGCTTCAATTGCGTTTATGCAAAAGATCAATTTTTTATTTTTTTTTCCCCTTTAGGTCAGCAATCGTTATGGAAATCATACTGGCATGGTAAGGCAGCTGCCCAGATTCAAAACTGAGCTGAAATGTAAGTTTTTGCTCATCTTATCCTTTATCCCTGTTCAAATTCATCATGTTCGACTTTTTCATTTTTCTTATTCCTTTCTTGTATTTTATTACCCCCTTTTGCTGCCCTTTTATCCAGCTCTTGCTCCATTTTTAAGAAATGGAGTTGCTTCACGTGTGGGTTCGCATAAGAAACTTGGTTTTCGGGTTGATGCGAGGAAATGGCCGGAGCCATTTAAGGGAAAACCGGGATATGTTTCCTTTGGTGGCCTGAGCCACCAGGCGATTGAGGAAAGTAGATTGGTGTCGGCACCTTTTAAGGAAGGGAATGGTTCATTTCTCTGGGTTTTGGCCCCTGCTGTCTTAATCTCATCCTTAGTTGTTCCTCAGTTTTTCATGTTGACTGCTATTGAGAATGCTTTCAGGAATGAGGTTTTTGCAGGTATATGCTTTTGCTTCCCTTGTTAGGTCTTGTTAAGGTTGGGATATATGTTGATATCTATGTTTGGTAGTAGGTGTTCCAGTGTTTAACTTGCTGTGAGGTGATCTGCTTAATCTTTAAGGTTCGAATAATGCATTAAAAGATGATCAATTTGATGTGGCACTAGGATTCCCGATCTTTCTTTCTTTCTTTCTTTCTTTCTTTCTTTCTTTCTTTGTTTGAATAAATTTATAAATCTTTTGGTGGTTATATATGAATATGCCTTTATTAAAGTGATTATTCATATAGATATATACACTCTTTCAAATTGCAATGTCATACTCCAATAAACAACATAAGAGTAAGTACAACATTTCATAGCATAAGCATGCATTTTTATCAAGAAATTGTGATGGATCGACCCACCTACCGGTTAGGTTGCCTCATACGAGAATTTGCGATATGTTTTTTGCTCCTATATATTTGTTTTATGTGTATTTATTTCATTAAGAAGCTATCTCACCGCGGTTTCTTAATGAACTTCAGCTTACTGAAACATGAGGATGATCTTAATTTCAATACGTTGTATTTATTTCATTAAGGCTATCTCACCGCGGTTTCTTTTTCTTTTTTTTTTTAACTCTATCTCTCTCCCTTTGCCTCTTCCTTTGTGCTACTTATTATTTGTCATATTATTTTCAAACGATCAGTAACTACTTTTAACCTGTGAATTTCGGTGCAGAAATCCTCTCAATTTTTTCATGTGAGGCAATGTTTTATGCTGGAGTTGCTGCGTTTCTGTTCATAACCGAGCGTGTCCAAAAACCATATCTTGAGTTCAGCCCAAGGAGATGGAGTCTTATCACGGGTCTTAGAGGATATTTGATGTCCACCGTCTTCATAATGGGCCTCAAGGTTTTCGCCCCAATACTCGCTGTTTATGTCACCTGGCCCGTGCTCGGGCTCCCTGCACTTGTTTCAGTTGCTCCTTTCTTGACCAGCTGTTTAGCTCAATTTTTATTCGAGAAACATCTCAAGAGGAACAGGTCATCCTGTTGGCCCATTTTGCCTATTATCTTTGAGGTAAAATGATTTCACCATATCATGTGAAAGTCCAGTAGAATGCTTAGAGATTTGGCTTTTATATATATATGTATATATTTTCACAGGTCTATAGGATTTATCAGTTGACGAGAGCTGTGAATTTCATCGAGAAGTTAATATATGGGATGAGGGAGGCTACAATCACAAGTGCAGTTACGGACCGAATTGCAGCCATGATATCAATGGTGGTGACTTTCCGTGTTTTAGGTGTCGTTTGTCTTTGGTCTTTGTTCACTTTTCTGATGAGGCTCTTCCCATCGAGACCTGTTTCGGATAATTATTAATGCGTATGGTGAATAATATCGTAACATAGCTTTTTGTTGTCGGCATGGCCAATTGGTGAAGAAGGCGTATTTTCTACATGAAACAGCTGCAATTTGTGGGCACGTTGTATGGTTTTGTAGTATGTGTAGTGGTTTATGGAATGTTGAACCTGTGTAGTTAGTTCATGTGATGCAGTATATATTGTTTTTTTGGGGAGATGAATATTATTTTTTGAATTTTGATTATTAATTGGTTGTCATTTTAGTATATTGTTTGAACATTAATTTTTTTTTTTTTTTGATCGTTAAATAAATTTGTATTGATCAAAAATGAAAGTCATACAACCGAGACGGCTATCAAAGCGTAGTGGGTAGACACAGGTCGTCTCCTCACTCGCAAGAACCAAAATAAACGAGGCCAACCACAAGTCGGGTGCTCACTCGAAGAAGGGGAAGCAATAGACTTCCTCTCCAATAGCTCACACACTTTGCAACAACCAACTCAAAACATTTCAAAATTCAAGGCCAAAACATCTCCTTTCGAATTCGGCAAGAACACTCGGGTAGATAGCAAAGATAGTGCGGTAAACATGTGTTTTTACCTTTCTAATCACGAGGCTTGGAGGTTGACTTTCGCCTTCAAAAATCAATCTATTGCGTGCGTTCCAAATGAAGTAGACGGTTGCCGCAAGCGCCGCTTTCTTCAATTTGACTCGCCAAGTCGTACCTTTCCCTTCTTTTTTAGTCCATTTGAGGGCGCCTTTAAGGGTAGATGGCATGTGACGGAGGCTAACCCAAACTCTAATTGCACTCCAAATCTCCAAGCAATATGGACACTCGAAGAAGAGATGACTCGAGGATTCGTTTGCGGTACCACAAAGGAGGCATGTGGGGTCTTCGTTGAGGAACTCCAATCTATCCTTTGTTTGGAGCCTATTCATTACGCCGAGCCATAAGATGAAAGAATGTTTAGGGGTATTGCAACTTCCCCAAACAACCCCGGTCCATGGCTTCTCGATACCCTTGGGACGGAGAAAATCATAGCACTTCCTCCTTCCATCTTGTTTGTCACGCAAATTCCAAGCACGGAGAAGGGCTTCCGCGCCATGCTCGCTACCCGCTTTTTCAATCAAGCTTTGCCGGATTTCAAAGAGGGATTTGAAGAGGGAAGAATCATTTTTGGAAACTTGCCAATCCCAAATAGTTTTCTCCTTCAAATAGATATTGTGGATCCATTTTTACCAAAGTGAATCCTTCTTTGCTTGCATATTCCAAAGAGTCCTCATGAGAAGGGCTCGGTTCCAAGCGTCCAAGTTACGGAGTCCCTCCGTACGAGGTAGACACAAAGTATCCCATGCAACGGGGGCTTTTTTGGAGCCCCATAAGAACCTCCTACAAAGTTGAATGATCTTGGTTCGAACAATGCCCGGCAAGTGGAATATACCCATCCAAAAGCAAGCGATGCCTTGAATGACCGATCGAATTAGTTCCAATCTACCGGCATAGGAAAGGGAGTGACTCCTCCATGCACTTAATTGGCTTTCAACTTGTTTGATCATATCATCAAAGAGCCTCCCGGTAATGCGATCCGCGGTGAGGGGAATCCCGAGGTAGCGAAAAGGCATATGCCCGCTTTGCAAACTAGTGTCATCAAGGATTGTCTCACGGTCTTGCCCTTTAACTCTGGCCATATATATGTTGGATTTGAGCACATTCATTTCAAACCCCGATTTTGCTCCAAAATCCCTTAAACAATTCATAAGCAATTGTATTGACCCCGAGTCTCCCCGAGAGAGGAGCATGAGGTCATCGGCGAAGACAAGGTGAGAGATTCTAAGCTTCTCACACATAGGATGGAATTTAAAGTTCGGGTCTTCCGCCGTGTGCCATTTAATGAGCCGAGATAAATATTCCATACAAAGAACAAAAAGAAAAGGCGAGAGAGGGTCACCTTGTCTTAGCCCACGAGCTCCTTTGAAATGGCCTTTAAGGCTTCCATTGATGGATAATGAATACGAAGGGGTGGTGTGCACTCCATGATCCACTTAGTGAAAGCCATTGGGAAGCCTAAACCCTCAAGCATTTGCCTCAAGAAGGCCCATGAGACGGAATCGAATGCTTTACGGAGGTCGATCTTGATCAAGCATCTCGGGGAGACTTTTTTTCTCAAATATTGACGGAGTAATTGTTGCATGAGGTGAATATTGTCCGTCATATTTCTTCCCTTCACGAAAGCGGCTTGGGCTTCATCAACAATAGTGTGGAGGACCTCGCTAATTCTTCTTGCGAGGATTTTGGAGCAAATCTTGTAAACCGTGTTGCAACACGCAATTGGCCGAAAGTCCGTGACTCGGGAGGAGTGTGAGGACTTAGGGACAAGCGTGATTCCGGTATGGTTCCATTGTTTGAGGATGGACCCGGAACGAAAAAATTCTTTGATTGCCGCAACAAGGTCATTACCAACCACATCCCAACTCTTTAAGAAGAAGGTAGAGGTGTAGCCATCCGGACCCGGGGATTTGCCTCCTTCAATGCCTCTAAGGGTGGACTTGATCTCTTCATCGGTTACCGGGACCATTAGAGTGCTACGATGGTTGGGGCTAAGGGACGGCCCCGAACTAAGAATTTGAGGGTCAATGTCCTCCGTTTGAACCCCGGTTCCCAATAGGCCTTCATAGTAACGAATAAATTCCTTAGAAACATCCTCCATGGAACCGGTTAATGTGCCATCCTCACGAGTTATCAAAGCAATATAGTTCCTTTTCGCTCTCTTCTTGACCAAGCTATGATAGAACTTGGTACATTTATCTCCTTTGATTTGGAAAGTGCATTTGGCCTTTTGTTGGAAGAATAGTTTTTCCGCTTTGGCCAAGTTGAGAGCTTGGAGCCTAAGAGGCCCCAACTTAGACTTGATGCCGAGATCATCCGGTTGGTCGTGGAGCATTTGTTGTGCTTCCTTGAGAGCGGCTTTGGCTTCATTGGCCCGAGATATGTGAGTAAGATTTCTCATTAAGTGCCTTGAGTGAATTCTTAAGATTCTTGAGATTGGTAGTGAGGCGAAATTGCCTCGATCCCTCACCAACATGACTCCAAGTGTCGGAAACACACGGCAAAAAGTTTTCATGCAATGTCCACATATTAAAGAAGCGCCAAGGGGAACCCCCATTGGCTCCGGCTTCGAAGATATGAACTAGACAAGGAGAATGGTCGGATATACCCAGGGCAAGGAATGAGGCATGAGAGAAATAATCGGCATTCACCCATTGGGGGTCCATCATAGCTCTATCCAACTTGGACCAAACATGACTATTTGTCCAAGTGAAAAAGAATCCAGTAGAGGGGATGTCGGATAGGCCCAAAGTGTCACACAATTCAAAGAGGTCCATGGTATCCCGGTTCGTGACACGCTCTCCTTTTATTCTTTCCTCCGGCTTGAGGATGGCATTGAAATCTCCGAGAATCAACCAAGGCAAAGAAATAGTACCCCGAGAAGCTACGAGGTCATTCCATAGTAATTTCCTATCACCCCTCGAATGAAGACCATATACAAAGCTAGTAAAGAAGGAGTTATTACTAACCTTGCAATGTATTTTCGTTAGGATGACTTGTGACAAGGTGCTTTCTACCGTAAGGTCCACTCTTGCGGTGTTCCAAATGATGGCTATACGGCCTCGATCGATAACATGAAAGTTTTCGCAAAAATCCCAACCCGGCAACCTTCTTTGCACAAAGAGAGAGAGGCGCCTATTGTCGGTTTTCGTCTCCAATAGACCAAGAATGTCTATATTATTCTTCCGGATGAGGTTGACAACCTCATCTTGTTTTAGGGGCCCGTTAAAGCCCCTAATGTTCCAAGAAGCGATTATCATTGGGAAGAGGAGGGGTTGCCCCCTTTCTTCGAATTTGCGCTTTTCCCCGGGTCCTTTCTTGTGTTCGTCTTGTCCTTGTGCTTCGTTGATTGTTCCATTGGTGGATTGTTGCTAGCCGAGCAACTTCTTCTTTGGACTTTGTTTCGCCTCTCCACTTTTTGAAAACCATCATCATCCGGGGTCACCTCCGGTTTGTCTCCTCCGGGATTGGTTGGCCCGGTGTTTGAGGAGCTAGCAATCTCCATCGGGCAAGGGTTTTCCTCTTTGTTCTCCTCCTTGGTGCTATCTTGTTTTGAGTTGCTCCCTTGACACATGTGTTCATTTTTCTCATCTTCTTTGGTGGTCTTTGCCTTCTTTTTCTCGTGGGCATTGACCTTGAGAGTGTCCTCCTCGACTTTCTTTTCCGGATGGTCTACATTCCCATGCTTTTCCGGTTCCCCATTTGCTTTTTTGCCCTTCATGTGGGCTGCATACTTACCACAATTCGAGAGAGAGTGGCCGATACACTTGCAATGGGAGCAATAATGTGGGACATATTCATACTCCACCTTTTGTTCGAACAATAGCCCATCCTTACCATTAACGGGGACACTAAGGGTCCGCTCATTTGAGAGGTCAAGCTCTACTAAAACCCGGGCATAATTCCTTCGAGCACGTGTTGCCGTTAACTTGTCGGTGGAGATGGGTTTACCGACACACGAGGCTATTTTGGCGATAGCTTTGGCATTCCAACACTCTCTGGGCAAGAACGGGAGGTTGATCCAAGCGGGAACCACCTTAATATCATCTTCCCCAAATTGGAACCAATTTGGAAGATTTTTTAGGATGAGCCCCCTTCCATATATGATGTAAGGTCCCTCTTGAAGCACTTTTACTCTATCATCATCGGTTTTAAATTTGGAAACAATCCACTCATTGACATTGGGGACAATCTCGAACTCTACGTTCCAAGTCTTACATAACTTTAGGAGAGCCTCTTTCCCGGGGTGCCTTTGGGTAAAATACCCGACTAGGCAAAAGCCCCACGTGTCGGTAAGCTCGGAGATGTCCTCCTCTTCAAGGAACGCGCCTCCTTCTTTCGGCGGGATATAGTCCAATTTAAGTACAAGAGTAATTACCTAAATGCAATTCTGCCAAAATAAATTTTAATAACATGACACTTCATAACATAAATACACATTTTATGTTAGGAAATTATGGCTATCTAGAATTGACAAACTCACAAGAATTTGAGATTTAATTTTATGATTGTTCTTTTTTCTAGGGTTGAAGCCATCATTTCCATTCTGATTCAATTATCATTTTGCATTTTATGTTAAAGTAAAGAAATACACGAACTGAACCAAAAGACTAGAGTCACTAAACCAATTAACAATATCCCTAACTCATTGACTGCATGAGTGTGTGTGTGTGTGTTTTATCTTTTCAAAAGTGCTAAGGGATGCACTTCAACGTTTCTGGCAACAACTTGGCAACAAATTAAATTTTCACACAATCTATTGTACTTGGCACAAGTCCCAATCTAATCTGAATTTCCGAATGTCAAGGACTCATATGTCATCCATGACAAGCCAATTGTGAAGTTATGAATAGATTTCAGTTAACATATCTGGAAAATTAACAAACTACATGCGGCAACTACAATTCATTTCGTCACAAAAACTCTCCCCCAATATCCGCAAGCTTGGTATAAAAACAACCTTCAAAATGAAGAATTTACAGATCACAGGAAAGTACAAACACAGCTTTTAAGATCTTTCCACAATTTTGCGCATATCACAACATATCGGGCACAATTAACATCTCTAACCTCAACGTTTGGAGTATTGAGGGCGCTTTCTGGCTTTCTTCAACCCAACCTTCTTCCTCTCAACCACTCTAGTGTCCCTAGTGAGTAGACCTTTCTCCTTCAAAGTTGGTCTGTGAGTGGCACTCACTTTCAGCAAAGCTCGAGCAACGCCAAGGCAAATGGCTTGAGCCTGACCGGATAAACCGCCCCCATGTGCCTTCACAAACACATCATAGCTATTCTCATAGCCAAACGCCTCAAGAGGAGTCTTCACGTACCGCAGCCATTCAGGATTCCCTTGAAGGTATTCCTGTAAGGCTCATCATCAAGGAAAATAAATAAATAAATATATAAACAATGAGAAAACAAGCCAAAGACTCAAAAATGCAGCATGTGATTACATTATTTAATCTAATCTACTAGTGACGAAAGCTATCTGAAGGCACCTTCCCTTCAGGAGGAATGAATAACAATGTCCACAATAAGTGTTCTTTACGAAATCCAAACATATTCAATTGGGACTAGATATCCCTGAACTGATTTTACAGAAGATTTCTCAAAAGTGAATTATATGAAAGATGAGATTTGATCTCATCTAATATGATAGGGATACGGGCTTCATTCGAACTTCTTTCTCCATACCCAATAAAAATACAGTTTAAATCAAATATCTAAAATATACATACATCTAGCCATATTTTTCCCACACATTCTTTCATTCTTTTCTTAGTTATGATCGTAATTCGAAGATCACATTGTATCACTCAAGACCACAAAGAGCCTACAAAATCGATAGAGCAGGGTATTAATCAAAAGCACATCCCCAATTCATCATTAGTATTGCAAGGGTCAGCCTAATTTGATTACACTCTAAATTAGATTATACAGTGCTGACGGCCAAGATTAGGAATTCATCTAATAATATGCATATACTTTCCAGGAAACTTTAACAACTTCCCGAAGCACTCAACCCCACAGGAAAGCTATTCAACATAACGGCTAACATATGAACAATATGGCTTCAGATATCAATATCCCATAACTCTCTAATCACCCAAAAATAACACCAATGCAGCCCAAATAACTGTTCAATGACCACCATACCTAAAAGCTTAAGCTAATATCTGACAACAAACTCACAAATTAAAAGAGAATTTCATATTCTGCCGTTTGCACGAGCTCAATCACCGGATTTATTCATCTTTCATCTACATTCATTACTCTCTGTCAAGTGGCATCTTCATCCATTTTCAAAGAACAACCGACAAAAAAACAATGACATAACTGCACGAGCAGCAAAAAACGAAAGCAATTAAGTAATTCCATACCTTAGCCTCCCGACAGTTGATGTAAACGTTTCCGGTGCCTTCCGTAAGGACAACCCGAGCAATGGCGCATTTCCTGCGGCCAGTTCCGATTAAGGTCTGCGCCGCAAACCCACCGGGAAGCCGGGATTTCACCAGCTTCTTGATGTCCACCGCCTCGACGACGTTCGAGTCGGCGACCTCGTCGGGGGAGGAAGCGACCTCGGCAGCGGAGAAGTCGAACTCGGCGGCGGAAGAGTCAACCTCGGCGGCGGAGGAGGCGACGATTAGGGCGGGGAATTTGGGGGCGGCCGATTTCAGAGAGAAGGGCTTCGGCGGAGCGAAAGAGATGGAATGAAAGGGTTTGGACGAGATTTGGGAAGAGAAGGAGAGAGAAGAAAAGGATGAGGTGAGAGAAGAGAGAGTGGTCGCCATAGCCATTGGAGAAGCTTTTGGATTTGCGAGGACTGAGGAGACGGAGTGTGGTTGGTGGTAGAGCATAGCGGATAATGTGACTGAATTGACCAAAATACCCTTCATATGGACTATATTCCATTAATTAGGGCCTAGTCACAAATCGAGCTCGTGTTCGGCTTGTTTATCAATATTAATGAAATGTGTTCGAGCCGAAATACAGAAAAATTTATACAAAAATACTATTTTATAGAATCAGAGGAAGAGAGTGCGGACCCACACAAGTGAAACACACCATGAAATGGTGAGACAAGGTAATTTATAGTGATGTTTCATCTCAAAATCAATTGGTGATCTCACTAGGCTTATAGCTAATTTTTTTTATAGAATTAACATGAGACAACTCGCAAGTAATATTTCAACATAACCGAGTCCAACTCGTTAACGAAACGAACTTTATGCGAGCTCGAGTTCAACTTGTTTATCAGACAAGCTTAGTCAAACTCGAGCTTTACCGAGTCAAGTCGAGCTCATGAGTGGCTCTTTTCGTGTAATTGCTCCGTACACAAACCGAAAAAATTTCGTTGTTTGGTTCGTGAATACTCAAATTAATTAGTACATTAACTTGTCAAAAATATTAAAAAATATATACATAATTCAAGCATCGATAGTAAAATTCACTTTTTTTATGTCTTAACGTTATTTCAATGGTGTTCAGCCTGTTTGAGAGGTCATGATCGTTAAATTTGCCTCCTTGGCCTTTATCGTATCTTTAAAATTTTAATTCAATTGGAAAATTATCCAAAGTAATTTGGATTGTTTTTTACCTCACATTGTCGTCCGCCATTTGTTTAAGATGATTGAACCAATGTCGGATTTATCTCTCGTTAAAATGGTTTTACCTAAAAAATCTTAGTTAATCGGAGTTAGTTTTCCTATTCAAAATTTACATCATAAGTACTGTTGTTTACCAAATTCTCAATCTGTCATGTTCATGAGCAGTGACAAACCTGTGTTGAAAATTCCGGCATACTACGCTGGAATCTGATAACTGCGGTGGTGGTGATGACTACACCAGCGGCGGAGAAAGTGAGATTCCAGCAGAGGAGCGCGTGACTCAGGGGTCAATGCTGGTCAACGGCTGTCGGTTAATGTCGACTGTCGGCCAGTCAATATCAGTTTATTAATTTTTATTATATAATTAATTTAGATATAATAATTAACAAGATCGGCAACCGATCAGTCAAAATCAGTTTATTAATTTTTTTATTATATAAAATTATATAATAATTAATATTTTTCTATTATTTAATGAATGTGTATTCCAATTAATTAATATAAGCCATTGATCTACTCAAAATTAATAGTTATAACTGGGTCTCACGTACGTATTTCAAGAAGTGGGCTCATTAAATTCACCGCTATATATACAACAATGTGTGCATGTGTCTTTTGATTAATTTATATTGTCAATACAAAATAATCCACATCGTTCAAAATAATTTATTGCGTAAATTCGTTTTTGCCTGATTGATTTGTGATTCAATAATTACATATATGTATATTGCTTGAATCTCATTGTCAATTAAACATTGAGACCAGAATTAACTTCAAATAAATATTAGAACCATCACTAATGTCAACTTCTAATTTGTTACATGTTTATTGAGTGAATCCCATTTATAATTAAATATTGGGACCATCACTAATGTCAACTGTATATATTAATTCGTCATATTCATATTTTCTTTTGCCAAAGTTAATAATAAATTGAAATAAAAAATATATGTATTCCATCCATATAAGATAAGAAAAATGGTAACAACACGAATTACAAACATATATGCAGAATATGGAAGATTAATTTGAAAAACTATATATTTATGACATGTATTGATAATAGTCAATATCATAATCGAAAATATATAAAAATAGACAATTTGTGAGGACAATGAATTGCCAAAAAATTAAATTAAAAATACTAAGCACAATAAATTTTTCAATAATATATTATTTTTATTAATAAATGTTCTATAATTGAAAAACTGACCTATGTATGATAACTGTTTTATTGCCGAACAACCTTAATGTATAAAAGACCATGAATAATTGTAATTGCTACTTTATGTTATAAAACTAGAGAGAAATAGAGAGAATAGAGAGAAAATATTCTCTTGGTCTCTTTTCATTACAAATAAAGTTCCTATTTATAGGAAAATTTCTGATGACACAATCGTAATAATACAATTGCATCAAGGGCAAAATAATTATTCACATATATTATTTTATAATAAAATTAAGTATTGGTGGTGGTGTGTGTAACACCATGCAAACAAATATTTATAACACTTTTCACATATAGTTGTAAACAAAAGGATAAGAAGGCATTGAATGATATGATTATTTAACCTTATGCCTAACCTATATAAGCAAAATTATATGGACTTGAAAATTCCACGACTGAATTTAATATTTCGTGATTATTGAAGGTTAAAAATATTTCATGCAATAACGAGTATAAAAATCTTATGGTACTGCATTGAATGGTCGCCGTGTGATACATTTTGTGCCGCCAATCAGTGATTTGCGATTGACCCGCCCCATCTTTTGACCCGACTTTCGGCTTCACTAGCCTGCAAATACACAAATGTGGAGAGGCAATTTTACAAAATGAACATAATGAATGAGCCAAATAAAAAGAATGATGTTTTAGTTATGAAAATTTGATGTTTGTTTAAAAAAAAAAAATAAGAATGAGCCAAATAAAAAAGAAAATTTTAAAGAAAAGTGACCTCTTTGTCCCAATTTCTGGTTGAAGTGATGAAAATCAAGATAAGGGTCTGCAAGCAAACTCCTCCAATCATTCCACCCCAAATTCCCTGCATACAAAAAAAATGAAATAAAAAATAAAAAACCATCAAATAGTTTATGAGCAATCTATTTAAAAACACTATTTGATTAACCGCGTAATAAATTCTTGTATGAGATGGTCTAACAGTTAAGTCGCTTGTCTGGACACATTCTTTAATAAAATACATACTTGTGCTATGAAATGCCGTATTCTTTCTTATGTTGTTTTTAATGTATGATATTTCAATTTTAAAGTA